AATGATTAACTATGATAACCCTAATAACTATGAGCCATTTTTATTTTTTAATTGAGATAGGGAGGGTTTCGCCATGTAGTTTGGGCTAAATTTGAACTCTCTGTGTAGTTCAGGCTGGCCTTGAACTCACTGTATGTTTTTTTTTTGGGGGGGGGTACCGGGGATTGAACTCAGGACCTTGCACTTGCCAGACAAGTGCTTATTCTACTGAGCTATCTCCCCAGCCCTCTTGAACTCACTGCATAGCTCAAGTTGACCTCACACTTGTGGCAAGCCTCGTGCCTCAGTCTCCTGAATGATGTGATTGCAGGTGTGTGCCACTAAGCCTAGCTCTCTTTGCTTGAATAGGTAAGTTTAAGGGTTGGGAATGTAACTTAATGATAAGAGCACTTGGTTAGCAAGTATAAAGCTTGAGTTCAAGCCCTAGTACTGGGGAGGGGGATTTAGTATAGCTACAGACAAGGTTTTTTTAAGATGATACAGGAGGTAAGAGCAAAGAATGACAAACATCCTGGAGAGATGACACTGGGCCCAGTCATGAAGGATGAGTGAGCATCTGCTCAGGAGAGAGATAAGGCCAAGGTTTTCCAGGCTGAGGGAGGACTGCATGTCAGAGGGCAGCAGTGGACAGAACAAGGTGTGTTCATGGAGCACTGGCAGGCAGAGTGAAACGCATGGCAGTATGCTAGGTCTATAGGACAGAGGACGAGCCACAGGAAAAAGACAAAGTACAGTATAATGTCCCAAATTCTAGAAAGCTCCAGCAGGTCTATGCAATGTCATGTTCAGTGCCTCTGGGATTAGTACTTCAACAACAAAGCCAGGAGGTGGTGTAAGGGGTTGGATTGGGGGCTGTATGGGGGAAACAGGCCTAGAAAGACTCACTGAACCTCGTCTTCAAAGCCCTCTGAGAAACTGCCCCTCAGCCCCCTCTGACTGTAACCTGAGGACAGGAGCCACAACTTAGGCCTGGCAGGGACAAGATGCTCAGAAAGGTTTCCCACCAGCAGATGGACAGAACTGAGCACCTGGGTGGCGGGAACCTTGTTTGCCCATCAATCTCTCTTACAGTGCCAAGCACAGAACAGATACACCAGGAGAGTAGGAAAGCAAGGGGATATGCCACTGGGAACTGTCCCTAACACTGGCGCTGACTTCTGGAGCAGGTTCAGTGACCTCCAAAAGTCTGGAGGCATCTTTAATAAACCAAGACATTAGGTCCAACTTAAGTTTGGCTGTGGCCTTCCAGGCCTAGCAAATGACCAGGTAGGACAGAGGGAGTCTGGGAAGATAAAGCTCCTTTAGGCCTGGCCTGACTGGTGTTCGTGAGACCCAGGCTTTCCTTCTTGGTTCACACACAGACCCTGAACCCAGAGCTACCTCTGGACCAGGGGGCTCAAAAAGCTGATCCTGGTACATTCAGTGGTTAACTCCTATTACATATATACAACAAGACATATCCTGTAAGATGTCATCCCCATCACCACAACTTTTTTCAATGCTTGGGATGGAACCTAGGACCTTGCACATGCTAAGCACATGTGCTCCCACTGAGCTGCACACAGCCTGAAATTATCTCATTACTTGGGGTTCTCTAGATTAGAACTGTTTTCAACCTTAAGAGAACACAAGAGCTATATAGAAATCTTGTAAAGGAAGCAGACTTCTGGCCTCTGTCCCCAACAGTGTGACTGAGTAGGTCTGTGGTGAGGCCCAAGAACTGACATTGTCAACAAGCACTTGATTCCAGTACAATCAGATACGAGAACAAGCATTCGGTGACGTCACTTGGGCCTCTAGAGCTTTGGTGTCAAGCTTTCTTTTGACCACAAACCACAGAATAAAGTTTTATGCTGTGGCCCAGGACATACTTATAAATATCTGAAACACAACTTTCATGCGACATTTGTCCTAACCTCTATCTTCCACACGGGTTTCTGCTCTATTTCACTACGAACACAGATGGTCCAGCCTTGATTCTGGCTGTGTGGGAGTGGGATTTTAGATTCCAGGGCCCAGGGTGCATTCCTGGCCAATTAAATCAGAGAGCCAGGAGTGGGGTGCAGGCTCCTGCAGTTTCTAAGTGTCCCCTGATGATTTCAATGTGAGGCTGAGCTCTAGATCAGCAGTTCCCAGGCCGGGCGGCGTTAGCACCACCTGAGAATGTGCTAGAAAGTCAGGTGTCCTGGGTATATAGATCAGCGGCGTAAGTGCCTGACTGGCAAGCACAAGGTCCCCAGCTCAATCCCCGATACCACACACCGAAGAAAAGCAAGTGTGCAGGTACATAGGTCCCACCCACACCTACTGAGCCAGGAGCAGTGGACATCTGGCCTTCAGTATCCCTGTTGTTTCTTTTTTGTGATAGGGTCTCATTATGCTTTCAAGTGGGTCTTGAACTCACTGTATAGCCCAGGCTGGCCTTGAACTCTTGGCACTCCTCCTGCCTCAGCATCTAAAACGCTGGAATTACAGGGGTACATCCTCATGCCTGGCTGATGTCTTTTATTTTTACAAGCCTAGATAACTCTGATGCACACCTAGCTTGAGACCCACTGGGAGCTAAACACACTGAACTGAATGGATTTCTTGTCTGTGACTGGGGCATAGCCTACAGTTTAACATCTCTGGGTCATACCGCCACACATCTGGCATGAATGTGTTAAACACGTCAGAAGGAAGCCTCCAGTAGAAGACTACATTCAGCACCAGGGAAACACCTTCCTTTCCTAGAAGACGGGCATGTTTTCCCTTTTTTTTTTTTTTTTTTTTTCCGCAGATCCGGGGATTGAACTCAGGCCCTTCCGCTTGCCAGGGAAGTGCTTATTCTACTGAGTTATCTCCCCAGCCCCTGTCTTCTCCTTTTGATGAGAGATGTATTCTGATTGTCCCTTTTTGGTGTTGGCTATGGAGACTTTTTTTTTGTTTTGGTCTCTTTGTCTGGTACCAGGGATCAAACTCAGGACCTTGCATTTACCAGTCAGGTGCTTACACCACTGAGCTATCTCCATAGCACTTTTTTTTTTGGTCTGAGACAGGGTCTCACTATGCAGTTTAGGCTGGCCTTGAACTCACTGTGGAGCCCAGGCTGGTCTCAGACTTGCAGCGATCTTCTTGCCTCAGCCTCTGGAGAGCTGGCACTACCGGTGTGTGCACCACCGGGAGCAAGGGCCGCTCACTAGACTCTGGGCTGAGCCAGGCCAGAGGAGGGGTGGGGTGAGCCGTCTGAGCACCGAGCACTTCCTGTGGCTTCTCGAGCTAGCTGGTCTGTGTGCAGGGCCCCTGTCCCAGTCAGTATCGCTGCTGTGGTTTCCTGTTTGCAGCTGCTGCGCTGGGGCCAGCACCCCTTCTTCCAGCTGATATATGGGCATATGTGACAGTAGAGGTGCCAGGGCTGTTTGGAAATGAGCAAGGGGGCTGGGGGAGAGGTCCACCCTAGTTCCTCCAAAGCAAAGAGGAAGAGAAGTAAAATCAGGCTGGACAGGGCCAGGTTAGGGGGCGCGAAGACTGAGGTGGAGAACTGAGGACCCCACCAGTTTGGCACAGTCAGCTCACATTAGGGCAGGCACAGGAGATCTGCCTTCTATCCTCGGAGCCTCTTCCCTAAGCTGCTGCTGGGTTTGAAATTCCCCCACTACTGTTCCCTGAGGTCTGTCTGAGGGGACTGAAGTAAGAGAATCATTTTGCCAAGAGCTCAGGGTCCTATTACATCTCAGGAGGAAAGAATCCTTGGTTAGGGTAGGGGACTATGGCCACTCTAAGTCCAGTTGCCCAAGTGTTAAATAGGCTTGGATCCCTGCTGTAGATCACTCAGGCCCTTGTGTTTGCCAGGCAAGCACTTATTCTACTGAGCCATGTCCCTGGCCCCTGTTTATTACATTTCTTGTGGTACTGGGAACTGAGCCCAGAACCTTACACATGCTAGGCAAGTGCTCTATCACTGAGCTACACTCCAAGCCTAACACCTGCCTTCAGAAACACAGATTATTACCTTACTGTTGATGGGTTCGCCAGGAAGCAACATGGTGGTCAGACTGTAGGCAGGCTGGTTCCAAGGCTAGGTACTCTGGCCTTCTCACATTTGGCCTCCCTACCCTGCCTGGAAGTCATAACTACATCTGGCTCCGGGCATCTGGGGCACAGACCACCGGCATGACACCAAGTCTCCCACAGTGCTGCTCCTCAAAGTGGGTGCTGTGCAACACACAGCACCCTGGGAGCTCCCGAGTAAGGCCATGTCCACCTGGCTCACGGGGGCAGCCCCCCCCCCGGAAGGCCAGTGCATACAGCGGGCCTCTTTTCGCACTCACGAAACTTTCCCTCATGGTTGGAATGGGAGACGCATCTGTCAGGAGAATGACTAGAGGGGACAATTCGTAGGTGCTGTCTGATGAGAAGTGCCTGTGTTCAAAAGCATTTGGGCAATGCCCGGTTAGACAAAGGCAAAGCCCTCAGAAGTCCTGCCTTGACATGGACGGTAATTTTCAGTGTGACACAGGTTTCCGTATCAGTGGGTATGATTCTTAAGTGATCCCCAAATTGCCCATTCCTTCCCCTCCATCTCTAAGCAGGTGGCCCACAAAGCACAGCTACTGTCCTACTGCAGTGCTAGCCTATGTCTGCTGAGTAACAACTCTGACCACCCTGGGGGGAAACGTATAAGTTTGCCAACTGGTGGCCTGGACCACGACAGCCCTGCTCCCTCCTCTTAACCGGTCCTACAAGGGTAGCTCACTCCCAACCCCAGAACAACTGCACCCTGCCACCTGTGCTCCCGCAGGAACAGTCCTGCAGGAAGCCTCCCTTGACTACCTCAGCTGGCTGGATGCCTCGCTCCTGCCATCATGCCTGTCTCCAGCTCCTCCAGGCTGGGCCTCATAAGGTCGCACAGAGATTTCGGCTTACTGTGTGACAGGGAATAAGGGACAGCCTGCTCTCTGTGGCTCTTCTGCTGAGGCCATCCTGAGAGGAAAGCCTGGGCTGGGGCCGGGCTCACCCACCTCTCCGGCTCTGGCTCTCCCGGATGAGGAAGGCCCCTCCAGGGTTTCCAGATAGCAGTAGAAGTTCCTCAGCTTTCTCCCGGCTCAGGCCCTCATACAGCCACCTGGAGGAACAGTGCAAAGGACAGGGTCACGAGGGGCTTTACCGAAACGCTTGCCCTGCTATGTGCAGCCTCCCTTACGGGCTACACCCTAAAGAGCAGGCCCCTTGTTCCTGGGGCTCAAGGAACCCAGGAGGATAAACCTCATGGGGTCAGCCTCAGTTTTTTGCCCAAGACCTCATTCCCAAGGGGCCCGTAGAGTGACCCCAGCCTTTCCTTGCACCTCATAGTCTCCCCAGCCCCTGCATCCACCCACCCTTTGAAGCTTTCACCTTTCTAGGAACTGCCCCTCTGTTTTCTTCCCTAAAGACACTATCCACCTAGACTGCCCATGTCTCCTGCACGTCCTGCTCAGGAGATCTCTACTAGATCCTCACCAACCTTCAACTCATGCAAGGACATCCCCTTCATGGGCCATCAGCAGCACCCTCCACAGGGGACAATGTGTGCTAGAATTGGTTGTCACCCACTTCTCTAAACAGTAGGGCTAGGCCTCACTCTCTTTAATCCCCACTTCGCTGAGTACAAGGCAAAGCATGATGGTGAATGCTTATGGGAAGAGCAAACGGGAAGGGCTGAAAGGCCTCGGGTTGGCACTCACCCATGGGAGATTTTGGCCACATGCACACTGGGCACTCTGTACTCTCTGCCTGAGACTTGTGACAGCACCATCCACCAGTCTCCATCCCTGGAGAGAGAAAGTAGAGGGGCGCCTCCTTCAGAAGGCCCTGGGAACTGCGCCCTTGGAATCCTTGCTCCAGCCACTTCATGTTCCCCCTGTTCAAGGGGTGCAGATGGCAAGGTGTAGGGGCCTAATCCCACTTCCTTTTCCTATAGCTGGGCTGAGCTGCCTGAAATCCACCATGGGGTCACAGTCCCATGATTGCTTCAACAAATGACTTGTGCTTTCCTGCTGAGACCCCCTCCCATTATTGCATCTTCAGATGCCCCGCACTTACTCAGAGATGATGGTCAGTGGTTCTCCCAGTCTCAGAGACAGCTCAGCCTGCCCGCCGGCTGGGAAACTGCCCAGGGCCACAGCTGTGACCTTGCACCTCTCTAGATAAGGGACAGAGACAGTCACCCTCATGGCCAGCCTCTGCTCCAGATATGAAGTCTTGTGCAATCCTTCACTCCCCTCCCAGAGGATCCTGAAGGGAGGCCACCCAGGAATTGGAAGTTCTTCCAGCAGGATCTGCAGAGTCTAGAGCACCCAGATAGCTTGTGGTAACTCTAGAGTATTGTGCAAGGGGCAGAGTGACTTTCCCATGACCTCCGTCCAGGGCAGTGGTGGAGGTCTGTTTTGCCCCCAAAAAAGAGCAGATGTCCAGTGTGTGGTCCACCAAGGGCCCATCCTTCTCCCTGCCATCACTTGCTGAAGGATCTGCATGTCAGGCCCTGCCTGGGTCCTTGTGCATCTTACCAGCCTGCACCACCACTCCAAGGAAGTTGTCTCAGTCCTGAAGCCCTGGCGGCGCCCTCAGTGTAGGAAGCAAGGACCCTAAGAGAGATTAATCTTCCACACTGGGAGCAGTCCTAAGCATGTGGTGACTGAGACCCAATTTTGGGGTGAGGACAAGCAGCTGACAGCTCTGGCAACACAGGACTTGCCTGCTACCTACCTCTGAGATCAACCTGCCCACACAAGTTGTCCCTCCCTCCATAGGGCCCTCTGGGCTGAAACCCGCCACAGTGGCTGCTGAGTACTTCACCCACACGTCATTCTCCCCATCCTTCCTCCTGATCTTTTTTCAGAAGGATCCCTAAAGGAGAGACTGGTGAGCATGAGAATGCATTACACTCCCAGCAAGGTCAGCGAGAAAAGTTCATCTATCTCCTAGGTGCACAACAGCCGGGGTTCCAGAGCCCCCTGGGATCTCAGGAGTGGGGAGGACAGCGGATGACAGACAAGGACCCAGGGTTTGGGTGGAGGCTGAAGGGCCTTTGCTATGGATGGACAAGTGAGATTGAGTCAGAAAAAGGACTCTGTTCCCACACATCACCTGGACATGTGCAGAGACCCCTGGACATGTGGAGACACCCTGACACGCATGGTGGAGGTCATGTCTTAGAGCCCAGGTGCTCTCCTTCTCCAAGCCCTCTTTGTGGTCCAAGGCCAGGCCCACCACACAGGGAACTTCCTGATGTTTAAATAAACAATGCAAGTCTTGTTTTGTTTTTTTTTTTTTTTTTTTTTCAGAACCAGAGATTGAACTCAGGGCCTTATGTTTGCCAGGCAAGTGCTTATTCTACTGAGCCATCTCCCCGGCCCCACAATGCAAGTCTTGTTGAGATCATTTTCTCTTTTTTTTGGTGGAACTGGGGATTGAACTCAGGCCCTTGTGCTTGCCAGGGAAGCGCTTATTCCACTGAGCCATCTCCCCAGTCCTCATTTTCTGATGATGGTGAAACAAAGAGGCCTGGAAGGGTGCCTTTCCCTCCTGAAAGTCCTGGATTTGCACCCCTAGAGGCAGGTCTTCTTGAATGGCCCCCACTTGACCGGCTAACTTCTTCCTTTGCATACTCTGAGTCTCTTTAAACACGCTGTCACCACAGCTAACACACTGGCATTGATTGTTGACTTAGCACCTGTCTGGGGGGGGGGGCCTGAGAGTCCCTGAAGGCAGGGACTGTGCCCGTTTCATCTACCGCTGTGCTGTTTTATCTCCAGGCCTATCACATGTCCTGGCACACGGGAGCACCTCAGGAGGCTGAAGCTGGCAGCAAGGCTGAAAGACAGCTGGCTCCAGGAGAAGGTTGCCCCGAACTCCTACTCCTGCTGAGCCAAGGTAGATCTGCCCAGGGAAGCCACCTTCAGCAGCGCTGGGCATGACTCGAAGCAGCCTCAGCGGCTGTGGCTAAATTTAGAGGAAACTAAGGTGGATGCCTGTGTGGTTTCCCAGTCTCTTCTTGCAGGGCCTCTCTGTAGCTGTGGTGGCTCTAAGGAGCCAACTGCTTCCTCTACAGATATCAACAGGGCCTAGGGTACCAAGGGTCCTGGGCGAAAGCTGGTATTAGGGAAAAAGAGGCGTGGGCAGAGGAAAAGGTAGGAATACCCACTACTGTAGGAAAATATTCAGGTTGGGGACAGCTCCTGCCCAGACCCACATATGCAACCACCTTGGCGGGACAGCCTGTAGTGTGGTTGTTTATTTATTTACTTATGTATGTATGTATGTATGTATGTATGTATGTATGTATGTATTTGGAGGTCAGTTTAATTGCCCACGTCCTCTTCCTAGAAGTGCTGCTTGGCTTGGAGGGATCTGGTAATCTATGATGCTATGGTCATCAGGACTTAGCCACAATACCCAGATAAGATTTGGTCAAACACCAGTGTAGATATCATGAAGTTATCACTTAGATGAGATAACTCTTAAATTGGTAGTTGGAGGGAGGCAGGAGGCCTTATCCAGTTAGTGGAAGGCTTTAGGAGAAGGCCGACGTGCTCTGAGGAAGAAGGCCTTCTGTCTGCAGGTTGTCACTGGACCCACACAATGGAGACTCAGCCCCAGGACTCAGCCTGCTAGCGGACCTTAGACTAATGGGCGCCACACTCACAATTTTTTTTTTTTTTTTTACAAGCAATACACATCCCTGTACCCTACCTGTTCTATGTCTATGAAGAACCCCAATACATTAGCCAAATCCTGAATCAAGATGTAATTTGAAAAAGAATTGTGGACTGTTATTCTTTTTCTTTTTTTCTTTTCCTTTTTCTTTTTTTGAGACAATGTCTCTCTGTGTAGCCCACGCTGGCCTCAAACTCATGGCAAGCCTCTGCTTCAGCCTCCTGAGTTCTAGGATTATAGGCATGTACCACCACACCTTGGAAAATGGGATTTTTAGTTTGTTGTTTGTTTTTTTTTGTGGAACCAGGGATTGAACCCTGACCTTTGCCCTTGCCAGGGAAGCACTTATTCCACTGAGCTATCTCCCCAGCCCCCCAGGGATTTTTAGTTTGGACTACCTTAGAAAACTGATTTTAAGGGGCCGGGGAGATGGCTCAGCGGAATAAGCGCCTGCCTGGCAAGCACAGGGACCTGAGTTCAATCCCTGGTTCTGCCAAAGGAAAAAAAAAAAAAGGGAAAAAAAAAAGAAAACTGATTTTAAGCTCAGCATATGCATTGTGTGTTTTGTTTTGCTCACCATTAAGAGAGCTCTAGGGGCTGGGGAGATGGCTCAGTGGAATAAGCGCTTCCCTGGCAAGCACAAGGGCCTCAGTTCAATCCCCGGTTCCGCAAAAAAAAAAAAAAGCTCTAAACTGGGTGTGGTGGCATATACCTATAATACCAAGACTTAGGAGGCTGAGGCAGGAGGATTGCATGTTGAAATCCTGTGTTAAAAAGTCAAACCAAAATAAAAACAAAAAGAGGGCCCTGAGTTAAATCCAGATGTTTCTGTAGTGATGGAAATGTTCTACTAGCCAGTAGCTACATATGGCTACTGAACACCTGAAATGGGCTGGTGTGACTGAGGAAGTGGGTTTTTGTTGTTCTGTTTTGTTTTTTTGTGGTGCTGGGGATTGAACCCAAGGCTTTGCACACACTCAGAAAGCTACCACAGAGCTCGAAGTCTAGCCCTCCTGTTTTCTCCTCTATCTGGCTGGCTAATGCTCTCCTACTCCTCAGGAGCAGCGGTCCTCAAGGGTTTTATATATGTTAGGGACTCTCCACTACCTGATCAGGGAGGAGTGCAGACCACATCTGCAGCCTGGTGGGGAGGACCTACCTGTCTGCAGGGGCCCAGCTCCCTGGCCGTGGACACAGGGGCTCACGCCTGCGCTTGGCAGTGTTTTCCTTCTGCTGGGCAGGCTTCCCATGATTCCTCAGCAGGACTCTCAGAAGCACATTGCTGAGAGGACTCTGAAAGAGATATTGGCATGAGGACAGGCCTGAGCTTTCTACCTGCTCCGACACCTGTCAACCTTCAGCTTGGCCTGACTGCCTCAAGGACACAGGGGAATGGTCCCGTCCCTTAGGATCAGTCCTCTGCCCCTTCAAACTGGACTCTGACACTGATTTTTTAAAATCTTTTTTTGGTGTGTGTGGTACAGGAGATTGAACACATGGCCTTTGCACTGAGCTGTTATACCCATAGCACTTTCATTTTTTTTTAAAAGAATTATTTATTTATTCATTCATTTTGTGTGTGTGGCCAGCTCAGCCCACCAGGGGGCGGGGCTGGCTGGCATGTGGTGCTGGGGGATTGAACCGCGGTCCCTGTGTTTTGCTTAGCTTGTCCTAAGTAGGTGCTTTAGACCACTGAGCCATCTCACCAGCCCTCATTTTTTATTTTGAGAACAGATCTCACTGTGCAACTCAGGCCTGGCTTGAAGTTGTGACCCTCCTGTCTCAGCCTTTCAAACTGCTAGGATTACAGGTGTGTACCACTGCACCCCATCTTTCCTGTGTTGCTCTGTTTTTTGTTTCTGGGTCTTTGTCTGCATACCCTCGATGGGCTGGTCTGCCTAGCTCCCACCCCACCCCAGCAAGTTTTCCATGAATCCTCTGCCTTTGCTGATCTCCCTTAAATTCCTGTGGCCCACTTAACCATTTCCCTGACCTGAGGCCTTTATTTTTTGATTTTTTTGAGACAGGGTCTTGCTATGCAGCTGAGGCTGCCTTGAGCTCACTTTGTAGCTCAGGCTGGTTTTGGGCTTGCAACAATCCTGCCTCAACCTCCGGAGTGCTGGGATTACAAGCACATACCATCATGCCCAGTGCCTTGACCTGAGGTCTTTGTTTTGTTTTATAATTTTTATTTACATGTTTGAAGTAAATAATGATTACATTCATCTTGGCAGTTGGTACATGCTAATTAACAGGACACATCTTAATTTTTTTACCACCACCTCCACCCCAGGCTCTCCTTTTCCTGGGTAGTGGGGGACCACACCAGGAGAAAAAGTTACTCCCGACATACTTAGGGTCAGAGGAGGGCGAGAGGGAGGGGAGGAGGCTTGGGACTGGTGTCATAACAAGCAGAGCTGACCTGGTACACAGTTACTGGTGTCACTGGGCAGAGTGAGGCTGGCAGGAGGCTGCATGACACAGGGATGACTTGCAAGGCCCTGGGGCCTGCTGTTGGGTCAGTTCCCCTCTTGGTGCCTCTCCGCCAGTGCTATCTCGGAGGAAATGCCCTGGGAAAGGCTGCCCGCGTGGGCCCACATTTCCTTTCTCTTGCTGCATGTCCCTTCTCAGTGCCTTTCCCCTCAGGGAGCCTCCCCTTTCTCTCAGTCCCTGCTGTGTCCCTTCCCATGGTAATGATGCCCTCCTTTATCCCAGTTTGCTTCATCTGCCATTATCCCGAAGCCCAGCATCCCTTTCTTTGGCATTTAGGAAAGCTCCACAGAAGGCCCTCACACTCAGTGACAAGTGGACAGGAGGTCATTAGCTCCTTCACAGGGACTTGTCTGCTGAATAATCTAAAGCCTCAGTTTCTAAATGGTGCTGTTTTTTCCAACACTCTATTACTGCTGAGGGTGTGGGGGTGAGGTCAGTACTTCTCAGATGGCTTTTTTTTTTTTTTTTTTTTAATGCATTTGGTACAGGGTCTCAATATGTGGCTCAGACTCGTAGCAATCCTCCTGTTTTCAGCCTCCCCAGCGCTGGGATTACAGGGGTGTGCCACCACGCCTGGCCTCAGTGGCGGGCCAGCGCCGGCACCATGGAGAGCAAACCTCAGTCCCTGTGCTTGTCTAGCAGGCGCTTAGTCTGCCGAGCTATCTCACTGGCCCTCAGTAGGGCTCTATTTGGCTGGCGTTTACGCAGTTCTGCTCTATGCCAGGCACCTGCCAAGAGACTGGGGTCGGGGGGCGTTGGGGAGACTTCAGGATGGTGTGGTGACACGCTGGCTCCCTCCTTGCCCTTGAGCCCTGTACTACCTACCTAACACTGTCATGACCACTGGTTTCAGGTGGTGACTTCCACAGCCTCCCAGAAGCTGGCACCCTCTCTCTGTGCCAGGCCCCAGCACTCTAGTCTCCAGCCCCATGTCATCGTTGGGAAGAACAATTCCTTTTTGCTGTTGCCTCTCCACAGGGACAGGGGCTCTTTTCCATGACATGCGGCCACTTCCAGGCTCAGCCTCTTTTGGGTCTGGCAGCCTTGGTTGCTCAGCTTGGGCTGTCAGCAGTCTGCTGTCCCCCAGTCTTTCCTTGCGTGCAACGTACAGCCCCCTCACCTCACTTTCCTCTGCCTCGGGGAGCACGGGTGGTCAGTCTAGCTCTACCTTGGGCAAAGCCTGGGAACTTTCTGAGTCCCACCTGTGAACTCGGGGTCACATTACTGACTTCACAAGGTTGTGGGGAGCAGTGCAAGAAGCTTGATGCTAAGCAGGTGTCAGCAGGCTGTTTGTTTTCTCTTTGGGCAAGACCACAGTCAACCGCGGCAAACAGGGATGCAGGTGGGGCAGGGTGGTGGCCAGCGAGGAAGGGGAGCTGAGTGCATGCTGCGGCCTCCCCAGGACTCTGCGGCTTTCTCCACCCGCAGGGTGAAGGCCAGGAAGTCTTTGGGGCAACATGGAGAGCAGGCAGCTGCAGGGCAGGCCTCACATTTACAAGAAAATCTGACCTTTAACCACACATATATCTGATCAATTTACTCTGTGCTAGGCACTTTCTAGGGGACCTGGACAAGTAAGTGGGTGGTAGGAAAGAGTGAGTAAACAGCACCGAGATCAGCACACTGCCCAGAACGATACTTTTTCCCCTTTGTGCGGTTAGTGGGGCTCTTCCACTGAGCTACATGCCCAGCCCTGTTCTTGTTTTAGTTTTAATTTTTTTCATTTTAAAGAGAAAAAAATAAAATTTCAGAACAAGATATTAGGAGGGTAACAAGGGTTAACACATTGCAAATTGTTATCTTTAGTTACTAAAAAAAGTAGTTACTCCATGTACAAGATATCGGCATTTAACTGTCCAAACAATATTAGCACAAACCTTTCTTTACATGTTCCGTGGAGATAGAGTCTCACTGCGTAGCCCACACTGGCCTCAACTTTGTAATCCTCTTGCCTCGGCCTCCTGAGTAGCTGGGGTTCTACGCCTGTGCCACTGTGCTGGGCTCCATGCTTTTTGTTGTTGTTGTTATTGGTTTTTTCTTTTTTTTTTTTCTTCACTATCTTAGTTGAATTCTTTTTCAGAGCTAAGGCCCAAGGCCCCCAAGAGGCTCGTGCTTCGCAGCTGGTTTGTTAGTGCACAGCAGAGACTATGACCTGCTCTTCTGTGAAGGTCATTCCTAGTGTTTAGGATAAGAGCTGAGCTAAACAGTCTCTCTCCTTTTCTATTTATTTATCAGAGCTGGAAACTACCCACGACCCACTGAGAAACACTTCAGCCACCTTTTCCTCTTTCAACTGAGAATTTCACCCTTTTGAGAGAAGGGCAGACTACAGCTCATGGTCTCATCAGAGATGATACAACGTGTAAGTAAAGCCCACACCCATCCTCGGAGGGGACTACTGCTCACTGCTCCCCAAATCCCTTGGAAAATAGAAAGCAAATGTACTTACTGGTTTCTTGTTGTCAGAGGCTTGGGGATGACATTCAGCTGAAACGCACGCTTCAGCTGGACATGTCAGGGCCTTCTGGACGACCTTCAGAGAGGTTCTTGGAGTTGGCTTGGGAAGCTCAGCACCTGTCTGTGGCCCGTAGTGTGTACACTGGGCTGGGGACAGAAGCCTGTGCTCCTTAGCAGTCTCGGACAGGGCAGCCCTCCCAGCACAGCCAGCCAGTGAACAAGGTCAGCCTCTGAGCGCTGTCAGACCCACAGGTGCAGGTTCTTGGAGTGCTGGCTTCGGCTGTAGTCTCTGTGGTTCTCACAACCACCCGCTTCCTCTGACGGCATCACAGAAGACCGAGGAGCCTCCTTGCCCAAGTTCCTGTTTCTGAGGGGAGTAGCTACTATCTCATCCTGATCCTGGAGGACATGGTTCTGGTTTCTGTGGCTTAGTCTGGTCCCAGGAACACAACCAAGGGATATGAACTGGAGTTTCCTTGGTGGACCTAACCATAGTATTCTCCAGAGATATTTTGCTTGTTCTGTTTAGTTTTGCTTTGTAGTTCAGGCTGGCATTGAACTCACTAGGTAGCCCAGGCTGCTCTTGAACTTATGGTAATCCTCCTGCCTCAGCCTATCGAGTGCTGGGATTAGAGGCATGCATTACCACACCTGGCCTGGAGAGATTTTTTTTTTTTTTTTTTGGAGGAACCGAGGATTGAACTCAGGCCCTTGTGCTTGCCAGGGAAGCACTTATTCCACTGAGCCATCTCCCCGGCCCCTGGAGAGATTTAATTTTAGCAATTTCTAGGGTCGTCTGACACCTTCTGAATGTAAGTTCCCAGAGGGAAGCCCAGCAATCTAAACTTGGAGAGACTCCTTTAGCATGTGTGGGAAATGCTGCCTTCTTAAACAGGGACTTCTAGGATCTTGATAAGTTACAGATTCTGACTTAATAGATCAAGAGGGGCTCAAGATCCCTTTTTTTTTTTTTTTTTGGCTAGTTCAGGCTGCCTTAAGGGCCAGTCTGGTAATACAAGTGGAGGTGGGGATCGAACCAAGGTATTGCATTTGCATGAGCAGGCACTTAAACAACTGAGCAGACACTCTCCTTTTTAAATTTTTTTATTTTTTAAATGGCATGCTCCTAACACATGGAAGACTTTATTTTTATTTTTATTTGTTTGGCGGAACTGGGGATTGAACTCAGGCACTTGTGCTTGCCAGGGAAGCGCTTTTTCTACTGAGCCATCTCCTCGGCCCCTCCTTTTTTTAATTTTAATTTTATTTTTCTTGAGACACAGTCTTACTACGTAGCCCAAGCTGGTCTCAAACAGGAAGCAATCCTCCTGCTTCAACCTCCTGAGTGCTAAGATTGTTACAGGGGTGCGCTACTCAGCCTGGCCCAACATTTTTTTCCCCTTTTGAGGTAGGGTCTCACTCTGTAATTCAGGCTGGCCTTAAACTATGTAGCCGAGGCTGGCCTCAAATTCTCAGCGATAGACCCAATACTATTATGGGCTACTGGACTCTTTTAGAATATTTTGCTGAGTTTACACACCTATAATATTCAAATAATGGAACTTAACAAAAAAAAAAAAGGGTATACTGATGAATGTCCATTTTGTATCTGTGTATTCAAAGCAGTTAGGATAGATACATAGTTACATTCTCTTAATGAATAGAATGATTTGTTCTAATGGTGTTTATAAATAGGATATCATGTCCGCATCTTGTACAGCAATTAACCACTAGGAAGAATGTATGCAATGTGTTAATTATTGAAACTGTCCTACCAATTTGATTTGAAACTGTCTCATTGCTATTTGTTTCTCAATAAAATTATGGGAAAAAAATAAATTAAAAAAAAAGACAATCTGAAATTCAAAAAAAAAAAAAAAAAATTCTCAGCAATCCTCGGCCCCACTCTCCCAAGTGCTGGGATTACAGGTATGTACCACCATGCCCAGGGCAACATTCTCCATTTCTAAACTCTCAGGCTATGTGTTACATATTGAATATATTATCAATATTCAATAATAATAATATCTTGAATATTAAGGTCTGGGTGGAGGGCTGATGTGTACCTCATTAGCAGGGCCTAGGATTCAATTTGCAGAACAAAAGAAAAAAATATGGACAGTGGTTCTCAAAGTGTGGTAGCAGCCTCACCTATGATAATATGGAAATCTGTTAGACATACAAATCCTCAGGTTGCATCTCAAATCTACTGAATCAGAAACACGGGCTGGTGAGATGGCTCAGTGGTCTAAAGCACCTACATGGAACAAGCTTGGCAAGGCATCAGGGACCGCGGTTCAATCCCCCAGCACCACATGCCAGCCAGCCCCGCCCCCTGGTGGGCTGAGCTGGCCACACACACACACACACACACACACACACACACACACACACACTAAATAAATAAATGTTTAAAAAAAATTAAAAAAAATTTTTTAAAAAAAAAAAAAAAAAAATCAGAAACACTAGGGGGCAGGCCCAGGGATGTTTTCATAAGTACACCACATGATTCTGTTGCACATCCAAGCTTGAGAATCACTGGTCTGAGATGAGGAATCTTGACAGAATTGCACTGTCCAAATTCATTAAAATTTATAGTCACAGCTGGGTATGGTGGCGCACACCTGTGTTCTCAGGAGGGAGCTGTGCGAGTTTGGGGCCAGTCTAGGCTACCTAGTGAGTTCAAGGCCAGCCTGAACTACAGTGAGACCTTGTCTATAAACAAATCCTGCTTTGGGGATGGCTGCTCTTCTACCACAAAATGGTCCACTGCACTGAACACTCCTGGAACCCAGCTCAGACTCTCCAGCCTTCTTGGTGGTTTGCCAGCTAGAGCTGTTCCTCCTGTTCATCATCTGTGTCCTAGTCCCTTAAGTCTCTCCTCTGCTCCTGGGGATTATTCTACTGAGCCATCTCCCTGGCCTCTCTTTGGTCTTTTTTTGCTATGCAGTTCAGACTGGTCTCTAACTCATGGTGATCCTCCTGCCTCAGCTACCTAAGTGCTGGGATTACAGGCACAAGCCACCTTGCCCAGCTTCTCCTGATTTCTGCCCTAGGGCCTGGGGATGTAACTCAATGGTAAACCATGGACTTAGCATGCTTGGGAGCTGGGATTCAATTCTCAAAACGAAAGAATCCCACCATATAACTTCTTTTCCACTTGAGAGGGCACCTAATAATTAGAGTTTGAAATCCTCCATCTGCCACTGTGATATAGAAGAAATACATATTTGACCCTCTGGGCGGCTGAGGCAGGACCACAAGTTTGCGCTCAGCCTGGGCAACTTAGTGACAACCTGTTTTAGAATAAAATAAAAAATAAAGGGCTAGGAACACAAACATGAAGACCTCAAGCTTAATCACCAGTACCACAAAATAAAGTTGGACTTCCACTTGACCTGGCTCCAGGCCAGAGTTCCTAAAACCTGTGATTTCCTAACCAACAGAGGTGCCAGGGGCCAGGGAGATGGCTCAGTAGAGTAAGTGCTTTCCTGGCAAGTGCGAGGGCCTGACTTCAATCCCTGATTCCACAAAATAAATAAATAAACAAATAAATAAATAAATAAAAAAGTAAAAAAAAAAAAATTGAAGCAGGAAAATGGCCTAAATTATAGGCTTAAGGATATGGTGCAGTGGCAGAGGTGCCAGAGGCATATTTTGTTCTAATGTTTGATCTCTGATCCAGTTTCTGACCAGAGTGCCTAATCCACTATCATCTCCTGGGTGATGGGAATGTCTTTTGTTCCAGTGAGGCAATTCTCAGTGGGCTCTTGGGTGGAGGCTGCCCACCAGAAAGACCAAGTAGTGATCAAAAGCTTGGAACTTTCAGCCCCGTCCCCAGGATGAGAGAGGGAAGGAGCTAGAGACTGATCAGCCATGCCTTTGTGACAAAGTCTCCATACAAATCCCTACCTACAGGGTTGTTTCAGATGGAGCACATTCATGTGTGGAGAGGGTGGCGCACTCCACCTCCAAGGGGACGGCAGCTCCTGGGAACCCTCAAACTCACTGTATGTAGCTCATCATCTAGTTGTCCATCTATAGCCTTTATAGTAAACTGGTAAATGTGTTTTGGAGGATATTTTTTTGCAGTGCTGAAGATCAAACTAAGGACCTTGCACTTGCCAGGCAGGCACTTAAGCCACTGAACTACCCCTCTTAGGTCATCACAGCAAAGTATCACACCTAAGCAAGGGGTTGGGGGAAACCCAGCTTATAGCCGCATGGGACAGATGTGTGGGTGACCTGGGGAGTCACTACTTTGAATTGTAGTCTAGTGTGTATAGTAGTCTTGTGGGACCAGTCTCAGTCTGCGGGGTTTGCACTAATTCCTGATAAACTCCTAATATTAGAAAACTGAAAGGGCCAGCTAAATAGCTCAGTGGATTAAAGTGTCCACTTAGGTAGATGCAGCAGCCAGGGTTCAACCCCTGGCCTGCCTTTGTGAGGACACCATTCCCAAGGCGCACTGAGCCAGCGACTGAGACTGGGTGTGGTGATGTGAGTTTTGTAAACCCAGGGTTTGGGAGGCTGAACACAGGAGGATCACTACAAGTCCAATCTACACAGTGAGACCCTGTACTAAAATACAAAAACAAAAAACAAAATGAAAATTGGTTGGTATGGGAGAAACCCCCACACCTTTGCTCAGGGAAGTATGGAATGTTAACAGATGAAACTGTTTTCCTTACAGCAAGTTATTTGCTTGGTGACCACTTTGTAAACTAATTCTGGGGTTGTTTTGCATACATAAGACTTGAATAGGTATTTCAACGGGTCAGTAAGGTGCCAAGGACCTGGCCTATGGTTGGCATGCTACAAAAAGATGAATTAAAATATAAAGATGCAGGGGCTGGAGAGATGGCTCAGTGGTCTAGGGCACCTACTTGGAACAAGCTTGGCAAAGCACAGGGACCGCGGTTCGGTCCTCCAGCACCACATGCCAGCCAGCCGCGTCCCCTGGTGGGCTGAGCTGGCCACACACACACACACACACAAAATGTTAAAATAAAAAAAAATAAAAATAAAATATAAAGATGCAGGGGCTGGTGAGATGGCTCAGTGGTCTAAAGCATCTACTTGGAGCAGGCTTGGCGGAGCACGGGGACCACGGTTCGGTCCCCCAGCACATGCCAGCCAGCCCCGCCCCCTGATGGGCTGAGCTGGCCACACACACACACACAAATAAAATTTAAAAAAATATATAAAGATGCACTTTTTTTTTGGAAACTGGGTTTCACTATGTAATTTAGGTTGGCCTTGAACTCACTATGTAGCCCAGGCTGGCTTTCATTTTTTGTCTTTTGGAGACAAGGTCTCATTGTGCAGTTCAGGCTGGCCTAGAACTTGCAGCAATCCTCCTGCCTTAGCCTCCTGAGTGCTGGGATCACAAGCGTGTACCACCATGGCTGGTTTAGTTTACTTCTTTGCTTCTCACAAAGGAGCCACTTTTTTGGGGGGAGGGTACTAAATGGGAGAAAAGGTAATATAAGTCTGAAGAGGAAGAACCAGTTGGCACAGTCAGTTGAGCAGTCCCTACACACAGGCAAAGGTGGGAAAGCACATGTATGTGGCCAAGAAAGCTGGTGAACCCTGTAAGTTTTAAGAGCAACTGTGGCCTTCCTCTCAACTCCAGCTTTGGCACTCTGTGTATCAGGCCCCAACATGGTAGCTCTATCTGTTACATGCTTTTATTCCAAGTCTGCTACCAGAACAGGCAGGGCCATGTCATTTCGTAAGAGCCGCCCAGGGACACAGTAACCAGGCTGTTCCTAATACCTGAATCTTCCAAAGCTGACTGGAGATGATGCTTCTTCACATTATTCTTGATGGGTACAAATAGCCACTGGAAGGAACCCGAAAAGTGACTGCAGGTTATTACATAGCAGGCAGGAACCAGCAACTCCACATGAGATGGTAGAGCTCAACTGCTTCTTCATCAACAGCACTGTCAGGCTTCACGTGAATTGTTTTTGTTTTGAGATAGGATCTTTTTTTTTTTTAACATTTATTGTGTGTGTGTGTGTGTATGTGTGTGGCCAGCTCAGCCCACCAGGGGGCGCGGCTGGCTGGCATGTGGTGCTGGAGGATTGAACCGCGGTCCCTGTGCTTTGCCAAGCTTGTTCCAAGTAGGTGCTTTAGACCACTGAGCCATCTCTCCA